TCTTACTCTATAAAAATGGCGGTGTCCATTTTGCTAAATGCCTAAATATCCCCTTCTAAATGACTAAAATGTCACTGATCATAGACTAAGTCCACAATAACCTCACACAGCCAGTTTCTTAATGTCCGTTTTCTGTTTGTCATGTGTTACCAGAACTTCCCCCATGTCATAAGAATTCATAAATATTTGTTACAACTGGTCGTAAGAATAGCCACAGTGTTTAACTTTCTGTTGATACAAGCTATGAATGGAATATTAATTTTTGCTAAGGGTAATTATTTCTAATACATTCACGAAACAGATTGCAACGATATTGGTATTATTGGATTCCTCTCATCGTCTACAATGCAAATGTGCATGTTTTATTGTGTGGAAACCCCCCAAACCCCCATCGGCAGCAAGGTTGGCCCCAATATCTGGGGAGGGCATGAATGGTACCTGGGAAATCGCAGGATAAGATATAAATAATCTACTCAGAATCAGTTTGTATTTTGTTTACTGAAGGGGGCCGTGTCCCTTGGCAAAAGCAGTCTCACATGGCGGTCATATGTTCTCTCCTGCCATGAATACGTGGAGGATTCTTTGTTTTTTGGGGGGAAGTTGTGCCCCCTGCATTAGACAATATTATTCATATTTTACCCCACAATTTCCCAGGTACCTTACATGACCTCCCCTACTATCCGGGCCAAAAATTTGGCGGTATAGGGGTTTCCATGCAATGATTTTTATATATTTGGAAACTAGAGAGTGAAAGGAATGCAACAATACCAAAATCATGACAATCAGTTATGCAGAAATATTAGAAAACATTACCTTGCTAAGTTTAAAGGATTCTGAATTAAGCTCAGTGAATATAATGTTTTGTAATTTTATGCAATAGTTCCTCCTAAGGGATACTGACTATTTGGGTATCATTGGATTCTTCTCACTCTCTAGTTACCAAAGATATAAAAATTAGTGTGTGGAAACCTTCCCATTACAGACCAATAGCAGGGGAGGGCATGAAAGGTACCAGGGAAATTGTGGGGTAAAATATGAATGATAACACAGAATCAGTCATTTTATTGCCAAATATAATGCCCCCCCTGGAAGCTGCTCAAAGAATCCTTCACATATTCACGGCAGGAGTGAGCATTAGACAGACTCGGCAACAGCGCTCCCGTGTGGCAGTCATAAGTTCTTTCCTGTCATGAATGCATGGATGATTCTTTGTTTTTCTGGGCAGGGGTAGGGGAGGTAGGAGTTCTCTCATGGGGGGTTGCAGGGGACACAGCCCCCTGCAACAATTAGATTAATAATTAACATTAGACAATATAGTGTCTGATTCTGTGTATATTCATATTTTACCCCACAATTTCCATGGTACCTTTCATGCCTTCCCCTGCTATCAGGGAGAAGAATGTGAGGATTTAGTGGGTTTCTGCTTAATAATTTCTATATGTTTGGAATCTTTAGAGTGAGGGTTATCCAAGGATGCTAAAATCATGATCCAATAGGCAGAACTATTGTGTAAAACTACTTTTTTTTTTTTTTTGCTTCATACAGTCTTCCAATCTTGCAATTATTATTTCTTGTTTCAGTTATTTACACTGTAGTAGCAATTAATCTTGGATCACTTTCCATCGCAAATCAAAGTATTGGTTACTGTTTACCAAGTGACGGCACCCCTCCAGTCACTCTTGGGGATCTACAAACATCATCGTATTTGTTCCCAGGCCCCCACCCAATCACTGTATCTCCATATTTGGGGCACTGTGCCTGGACCCCACCTTATCACTGTGGACTTAATTTCTACGCATTATTTGTTGCAATATTTTTTCTTCATTTCTGGCACTATTATTTCTGGCAGCAGGAGATTATTTCTTGTGCAATAAATTTTCCTGTGAACGTGTACCAAAATATTATTGCACAATTTTTTTATCATCCACTTGGGAAGCAAGTATCATAGGTGAAAAGTATCTTATTTTCTAGTTTACCCCTATGGTTGTGTGAAACAGACTATACCAACTGTACGTACAGACACATTTCACAATCTGCGCAATCTGAGTCATCTCAAATTCCTGATGCCACCTATATATGCCATGACAATGGAAGCTGCTCTCTGGTCTGCATAGTATGTAGCTATGGAGTTTTGTGGCTCCAACAGAGCTAGTCCTTGAACTTCAGCCTCCAAAGTCAAACTTAGCCCTCATCTTTTGTTACTTTTATTGAAAAGGAACTAACATATTGTCTTGAAACAAGTGGGAAAAACATTATCTCCTACTTGTGAATTTTATCTTTTGCAGGCAACCCATAAGCAGTGGTTAATGCACCCTTGATTGTTTTCCAGTTCCATTGGGTTAGATATGCTTAGTGTTGGTCTTTTTTATACAGTTCGAAGTTTTAGTTAACAATATAATTACATTTAGAATTTTATTTCATAGCATATTTATATTTTGGTTTCATTCAGGGAAAAAGGAAGTGTTAACTATATTTAGTATTTTTTCTTTGACAGTATTGGGGCATTTGACATTTGATTAAAATATACTTATTACATGAGATTTCATCTGTTCAGTCTTAACAAAACGACTGCATCAGCTTATCTTTTGACTAACATTTTCATCAGTTCATAGTTATGAATGACACAAAATATGTTTAGTGATTGGAAGTACAAGACCAAATTTTTAAGTGAGATTTCATCCTGTAAGAATTGCTGATTTTAAGAGAGACAAGCCAGATTTCTTGATTTTCCAGTAGTTACCCTTTCTTCTGTTCCCAGTATTCAAATGTTTGAAAAAAAGAACTACAGTGGAAATTATAATATTCATGACAACAGTGGATTAATAGAGCAGTTTCCTCAATATATGTAATTATACTATATAAGGGTGTATGATATTTATTTTTTGTACACGATTATTAAAAAGACTTTATTAAATGTAATATATGGCATCATAGAAAGGAAAATTACTGGAGACAGTCTTTACATATCATAAAACATCTTGATAGTCTTCTCTCAGGGACCTTGTTTTTGTTGATAAATTCATAACAACAAGGGTTATTACCAGATGCAATGCAGCTGTCAGTCATTAGTCAAGGTATTGATGACTTCTTTTGATTAACAACAAAAAATATGCCCCAATAGGTAGCTTGTTAATTTCCTGGAAAGTGATATGTAGTCATGGATCTATGGATTTTGTCCTGTTGATTTATAGTCAAATGAAAAAGTCTTTTTGCCTCTCATGGGCCTCCATCATCTCAGAGGTTAAAGACCCCTAGACAAAGGCACAGCCACTGCTTTACTTTCAATAGGCCTTGATTCTCGGATAGGTTAGTGCACCAGACAAGGAAAATTAACTTTTGAATTTGATTTCACATAAAGTCATGATTTGAGTGTAATGATGAGAGGGACAAGTCACAGATTTCATTATCCCCCACAACTTTCTTTGAATTCATAGGCTCTAACCAGTATCAGAACAAGTTTTAAGTGGATTGAAATAGAACAATAATATTTTGAAAGTTGGAGTGCATGTATTAGTGATTAAGTTTATTGAAAAATAATTATATATTCCATAATATACTGTCAGCTGACGATCTTGATAAGGAAATGTATTCCTTATTCCTATAACTAAGGATTTACAGCAAGTTCTTGTGGAATATTTGTGTGCCTTTTACAAAATTGTCATGTAGTAAGTGGATATTGGTCACACAGGAATTCCTTTCTCACTCTTTGCATAAAATTGTGTGTAGCATTTTGTTAAACTTGATTTGCGTAATAGCACATTACTATATTTATTAATTGGAACATACCCCATGCCAGATTTTTGGATTGCAATGGGTCGTCAATCCCTTATCTCAACGCTTGTCCCTAAAGTGGCATTCTGGCCATCATCTCGATGGATAATGGCCTTACAATGAGGAATTATCATCAGGTGAGATTTTCTTTGGTGTGTTAATTTGCTCATGTGATGATTCAAAAGTGAGAAGCATAAGACAAAGTGATAAATCTGTTTATAGTAATGTTAAACTTTCTTTCTATATATTGCAGCGTATGTATTCTGCAGGCATAAGTAATTGAGTAATTTATGTTTTTCCTCAGATATTAGGGACTGAAAAAAATCAGTACCAGTACAGCATGCTTGATATTCCCAGTACGCTATAATGAGAATAAAATAAGATAAAATGCATACAGTATGCATCATACTAGCCTAGAAAGAAATAGTATTTCTTTCCTTTTTTATATAAATACTCTCCTTTTGATTCAGAATATTATTATAAATATTTTAATTAAGAGACGACTGGCTGCTGCAAACAACTCCATTCGTAAAATAAGGCATGTTATACACTGGCACTTGTGTGAAGACTGTATTTTATCCATAAACTGTCTATCCTTTTGGGATACTATTTTTAATTTTTTTTTTTAATGTTTCTTTATTGGATGTGATAAATGCCCAGTGCATGCTTTGGAAGTCCATTATTATTTTGAAGAAAGTTATTTAAACTATTAGGAATTATTTGTTTTCCCATGTATATAGAATAAAATTACATAATATTTGATAAGATGAATGATTGAACAGAGAAGAAATGAATATACAAAATGTCTTTTCATATCATTATTAACTTATTACTGCCAGAAGTTATGTTCACTGTAGTTTTGTTATGGAAATTTTGTTTACTCATAGACAGCTCAGGTGCTCAGCCACCAAGAGCCAATTAGGAGGCCTGTGTCAGGGGTGGCCAACCTTTTATGAGATATGAGCTACTTCTTCTACAGTTCCCCTGATGCGATCTAATAGCCTAAGATTCAAACATATTCCATAGATGTAACTGTAATAGTGTAACATCATTATAAATATAGATATAACTTATTCCCAGAAAAAAGAGAAATATAATAATCCAAGTATCATGAGTACTTGAATATGCTATTGCAGGTATTTGCATGACAACTTCTGAAGGACAAATTATTAACAGGTACAGTAGTGTGATCAACTTTAAACATTCTTTTGATCGACCAGTCATTCGTGATTGACTGGTTGGCTACCCCTGGCCTCTGTGATCTCCCCTGATTTCCCCCTTTCTTGAGCGTTTAAGGAAAGTATTTTTTCTAATGCTGTTAATATTGATACTGTTATTATTGAAATGATTAATGCAATGTTACTAACAATACTCATAGCATTAGAAGATGAAAAGGGATGTTAACAAAAATCAAGCGAAAAAATATATTGGTGTATAGGTAGGATTAGTAATTGACTCCTTAATAACAGAGCACTTGTGGAGCACTCCATGCATAAACAAATAGATTAACTAAAATCACATTATGACTTATGTGATATTGATGGTATAGATCAGAAGAGAAAAATGCCATTCATGCTTTATTAATTTTATAGGGTTCTTGGATCATATTATTTATTTTTCTAGTTTTATCATTATATTTTTTCCTTTCCATTTTTTTGAACAATCCTTTTTTGCTGTCATATGGCTGTCAATGTAGAAGTATAGGAAACTTGAGTCTGAAGTGGTTAAATCTTCGATTAGCCTGTCTCCCAGGCAATGTTAAGACAGGCAAATAATATACAGTTGCCTCAAGGCATTACAATTTTGCTTCAGGTTGGAAGTTTTCTCACAGTGTTCTTCCTTCCTAAGGTTGCTTTAGAAGTTTTTCACAGTGAAGAAAAATGTGTGGTTCTTAAAATTACTTACGAAACCTGCTTTACATGATAACTGCAATTTACTGATTTCTGCTCTTAAAAATGTAACTGATGATAATCTCCCCTCCCATCCACTAACTTTCACTTTCAGATCAATAGGTTACATAGATCTTTCTCCTAGACAAGACGTTCATATCCTGCTCGTCATGATTTTAACTGTCAGATGATAAGTTTACATAGAAGACCTTTCTCCTAGACAAAAGGCCACCCATTTCGTGCTATTCACTGATGTTCATTGTTAACATTATGGTGACACTGATGTTTCTCTTAGACATGAGCCCCTTCTCATGCCATTCACAGACAGCATGCCGTGAGGGGAGCTACAGATCACAGCCAAGCACAGACTCCAATCCAGGAGGGGACAGGGAAAACACCCAAAGGAAGGCTTGGAGAAGAGCATGGCCTCCCTCCCTGAAGAAGAGGATTAGGAGGAAAAGGCACTACAAGTCACCTTTCAAGAAGGGGAAGGAAAGAGTGAGAGAAAACCAAAGTGCATAAAAAAAGACCATTATATATGTGGTTTCCTTTGTATTTCAGTCTTCATTGGCATTTCCTGAAAGGTAATTTTTTCTTTTATGAATGTGTGTGCGGGTGCGGGTGCATGCATGCGTGCATGGGTGTTTGCATATGTCTTTGTGAACAGAAAATTCTCTTAGAAATGTAAGTATTCAATTGACACACAAAATATAGGACTCCCATTTAATCCTATGGTGATGGGGGACGGATCTATTTGTGATGTAATATTATTCAACAGTCTAGACTTCATGACTAGGCATAAGCAGGCCAACCCAACTCAAAAGTCTGTTATTTCATGACGGCTGTAGCCGTATTCATCACCGAGGAGTTGATGCATACTTGACAATCATGATAATTGTGCTCTCCATTCTCAACAGGTCAAGACTTGGGAAAAGTCAGCAAAGTGGTTCAATAATTGCAGCGCACCAACCACAGGGCCAGTCACCTGCGCTTTGACCCAAAAGCAGTCAGATTGAATATTAACTTGGTGGAATTCACCAGTCTTCTAATTGAGTTTCCCAAAGCATAAAAATACTTTGCCAGAATTTTGTTTGTATGTGATTGTGTATGATAGAAAAATTAAAGTAAATCTTCCTGTGAAATTAGCTGTTACCTATTTAAGATACAGAAGCTTTAGGTGGACCTCCTGAGGATGTATGGATCTCCCAGTTAAGACTTAATAAATTCATTGAACTACAAAATGCTAAGGGATGAAGTAAGTGTTTCATATTTGAAAGTTGTATTCTGCAACAGAAAAAGGAATCAAAGAAAATCCAGATATACAAAAGCTGAGATTAGAAGGTGCATTGGTGTTGGATCTAGTCTGCTAAGTAAGGCCTGTTTTGGAATATGTTAAGTTTGCTCAAAAACACAGATGTACAAGAAACCATGATGTTACTGTAGAAGATAATGTGATTAAGTACCTCTATGAAGTTTGTGAGGCAACACTTCTTTGTTTTAATGGAATAGACTATATCATGGAAAATCAAAACAAGCAGTGGCAGCTTGTCTGAGTGGTCAATTAAATGTAAATAAGTCTGGTAGTTTAATTTACAAATAATTGCTGTATATCTGGATATGGTTGTAGACTGCTCTTATCCATAAAGGTATTAATTATTTTTTTGTAAGAGATACTAGATTAATTTCTAGAAAGAAAGTTTATATTGTTGATTTAATGTTTTTCTTTTTCCTTAAAGCTTTAATTTGTGGCAAGAATAAGACCTTTTATTCACATTTCAATTTTGCTTCCTTCTTAAATTTGTCAAGAATTTTCTCAGGTTTATTCAGTGACTGTAGTATGAGAGTCAGTGTTGTTGTTTAATTGAACAAGGAGGAAATGTTAGAAAAAAAACATTATACAGTTTGCATAAATTGGCTGGCCCACACAGCACAAAATGTTGAATCAGCACAATTAACTGTATGAACCCATTGATGCCATGAACTCTTTAATTTAGTGTTGATATAATTGTTATTTTGTACACATAGATGCCTCCACAAACACTTGGCCACCAAGGAATCAGTTATTACTACTACAGGCCAACCTATTTATTCCATTCATCATTTATTTTTCAAAAAGTAATTTTATTATTTTAAACATAATTGATATTGTTACTTGTATGACTCAATTTATTACTATTAGTATTAGTATTATTATTGTTATTCTTATTATTGATGGTGGAAATGGTGTTGGTGTTAGTGGTGGGATTCCTGATAGATATTTAAGGTCATATAGCCCTATAGGAAGGTGTGATGACAGGTGATAGTTGCTATGCGTCAACTATCTAGAGTAATGTTGAAAGGTTAAAGATGGGTAAAGGAGTTGATGAGGGCATGGGTTATGGTGGTTTAGGTAAGGGAATTAGATCAAGTGAAGGATATTTATGTGTTTGAGGAAGAACAAGTTGCCAAGGCAGAAGCCGTGGGATTCTGTAAGGATGTCTGATATGTTGGAAGGGCAGTTAAGGGACGATAGGTGGGGGAAAGCAGAGGTGTGGGCTGTAGTAAAGCGTGGACAGGACAACAGAAAGAGGGACATTACATAGGGGGCATAGGGGTGGGTTAGAGTGTGATATTAGATAGGCGTGTGTAAGGTGGGTGTGGCTGATATGTAAGTGTGCGAGGGCCGTCTTCCAGCATCTGTTCTGGTGAAATGGAGCTGACCAAGAGGAGATTGATAGTTTTACAGTATGTAATGTATTATTGTGGAGGCTTGAAAGATTGTCATCGGGTATAAAAGAAGGTTTTAAAGTGGGGGTAATAATCCGTAGCTGGAATATGTGAGAAGCGTGGTTGAGGTGATGTGGACATAGTGGCATAACGTGCAAGAGTATTTGCTTGTTCATTGCCAGGGATTACAACATGGCTGGGCACCCAGCAAAATCAGACAGATTTATGGCATGTGGACAGGCAGAACAACCAGTTCTGGATCTTACAGACAAGGGGATTGGTCGAGTGCATAGATTTTATTAGGTTTAATGAGTTACGGGAGTTGGTAAAAATAGTGAAAGAGGAAGAAGGCTGTGAGTATATGCATTTTAAGACAAAGAGTGCATACAGTTGTGGTAAGGACAAGATTCAGGAGAGGGGGTGATTTTGAAAGTGCGATTTGGGAAGGTTACTGTGAATCCAGCTCCGGAGGTGGATTTGGAGCCATCAGTGTAAACATGAATACAGGAGGAATGAATGGAGACATGGTCAAGGAAGTGCGTGAGAAGGACAGAGGGGGGATATCTGATTTTGGTGGATCAGGGAAAACTGAGGAGCAAATACGGGAGTAAGGTAAAAGCCATGGAGGGATGGAATGGACAGAAAATGGGAGAGGTCGGAGGTGGGGAAAGGGGGAATGGGAGAGGAGGGTATCCATGCATACGGAGAAAGGAGTAGGTAAACACGGAGAAGGGGTAAAAGTAGGAAGCAGGGATTGTGGTATAGTTAGTTTGGTAAGGGAAAGTTAGTGGAATTGAGCATAGCATCGGAGAGAGAGAAGGGTTCGACGTCGAGAGAAAGATGGCAAGCCAGACTCAGTATACAGGCTCTCAACTGGAGAGGAGCAGAAGGCGCCCTGGGCTAAGCGGAGACCGCAGTGGTGGACTGTATCAATGTGAGCAAGAAGGGAGGTTGAGGCAGAGGAGTAGATATGGTATCCATAATTTAGAGTGGAGAGGATCAAGGTAACATGAAGATGGAGGAGAGTTTTGCGATCTGAGCCCAAGGATATGTGGGAAAGAGTTTGTAAGATTCGCAGGCAAGATATGGTCTCGCCAGGACAATTTGGAGTCAAAAATAACGCCTAGAAATTTGTCAGAATAACGGTATTGGAGTGAAGCGTTCTGTAAGAAGAGTGGAGGTTGGGGACCTACACATGAGCGAGAGAAAAGGATGGAGAAAGATTTGGAGATAGAAAAGCGAAAGCCGTGGTTAGTGGCCCAAGAAGATACTGATGCTATTGCAGACTGAAGGAACTGATGGAGATCTGGTATGGATGTGCCAGAGGCGTAGATGGTTAAGTCATCAACATATAGTGATACCCGGGCTCCTGGTGGTAGGACTGAAATAGTCATTTACAGCAATAAGGAATAAAGTGGTGCTAAGCATACTTCCTTGTGGGACACCTTGTAACTTAGGAAAGGATGATGACATGGAAGAGACAATTTTGACCTGGAAAGTACATTTGGAGAGGAAAGATTTTATGAGGACACCCATGTTTCCACGTATATCTATGGAGCACAATTGTTGGAGAATATGGTATCGCCATGTGGTATCATATGCTTTTTCTAGGTCAAAGAATATGGCTAATACGGATTCATGGCATGCAAATGTAGATATAATATATGTCTCGAAATGGGCAAGGGGGTCTGCTGTACTTCGGCCACGGCGGAAACCAAACTGGGAAGGAGAAAGGAGATTGTGAGATTCAAGATACCACATTAAGCGTAAGTTAGACATTTGTTCTAGTAGTTTACACAAGCAGCTAGTTAGAGCGATGGGACGGTAATCTTGAGGGAGGGTATCTGATTTATTGGGTTTCAAGAAAGGTAGGATAAGAGCTTCTCGCCAATGAGAAAGAAAATTTCCTGACGTCCATATGTGGTTGAAAATAGTTAATAGGAAGGAGAGGGAGGAAGATGGGAGGTGTTGGAGCATACGATAGGGAATAGCATTAGGGCTTTCATGAGTGTTGCGGCACGACTGTAAGGCAGCGTTGAGCTCAGACGAACAAAAAGGAGCATTATAGGACTCATCAGAGGATAGGGTGAAGGTGATGGGGGTGCATTCCTTGATGCTCTTTTAAAGGAGATAAGGGCTGATATCTGGTTGTGGTTGCCTCGTTTGTAGCGGTAACTCTTCCAGGCTGCTTGTTCTAAGCGAAGCGCTTTGGTGCAATCAGAATTCCACCATGGAACACATTTGGAGGTATAGGGCTTTGAGGTTCAAGGAATGGCTGTATTGGCAGGACTTAGGATCGTGGTTGTAAAACATTGTAGCATATCTGAAATGGGCGGGAAGGAGGGTGGACAGATAAGTATAGTAGAGAGTGAAGTGAAAGTACATCAATCAGCTTTATCAAAGCACCAGCGTGGGGAATTAGGAAGTGGTACATATGAAGTAGGAGAAAGGAGAACTGGGAAGTGGTCTAGAACTGTATAAAAAACTATATATAAACTGTATATAAACTATAGGGGAAGTGGTCTAGAAATGACCAATGGAAATCTAAATGAAGAGAAGGGGAGCATAGAGAGAGGTCAAGGCATGAAAAGTATTGCGTGCGCATGTCAAAGTGTGTTGGGCGATCTGAATTAAGAATAATTATGTTATTTGTGGAGAGGAAGCGTTATAGAGATCGGTCTCGGGAGGTAGTGATAGAATCATCCCACAGTGTGGCAGCAGTTGAAATCAACTGTGAGGAAAGGGTGTTGGAGTTGGGAAATTAGAGTTTCAGAGGCAACAGTCAATGGGATGGGAGGGGAAGAAGTAGCCTGAAATAACTGTGATCCGACGGCGAAGAAAGATCCAAATAACTGTGCACTGGACAGTGGTTTGAAAGGGAGGTATGACAAGGTGTTTTCTGATGGATAATACAGACGATACAAAGGGAGTGTGAGGGAGAGACAAAATGGTAGTTGGGAATTGGAATAGGAGGATGTGTAAGAAGAGTCTCTTGGAGGCAGATAATGGATGGATTACAAGAAGAAAGGATATGACGAAGGTCAGTTCTGTGAGAACTGAAACCGCGAATATTTCAATGTAGGAGAGCTATAATTCAGTTCTATAAGTGATAATGGATACATTACATGTTTGGGAATTTGAATGGGAAGGAGCTAGGGGTGAGATAAGGAATTACAGAGGGGGAGGGGTTGGTGTAGTATCGGGAGGGTTATCAGGAGGTGAAGGATCTGGGGAAGGGCATTGTTGTAACACGAGGGATTCACGTGTGTATCAAGGAGGAAGTGGAAAGGATAAAGGGGATGGAGAGAGGGTTAATGTAAGTGTTGATGGAGGTGAGGGGGATGGGTTGTGTTGGGAGGGAGTAGGAGGAAGTGGTGTAGGAATAATATGAGTAGGAGGAGGATGGATATCGGCAGTAGACGAAGTTGAGGGAGATGGGTTGTGTTGAGAGGGGGTAGGAGGAAGATGGATATTGGCAGTCACTTTGAGTGTAGAGGAAGTATGAGTAGTGGAATTTTGTGCCACGAGCATATAGCTTTGAATATCTTCCATAGTTTCTGCAATGGAGTTGGTTGGAGAATTTTGTAAGACAAAGGTTTTCTTATAAGGGGGGGGGGGGGGAAGACTTGGTGTTTGAGGAATAAAGGCAAAGGTAGGTGGAGGTGAGTGTGCAATAGGGGAAGAAGGGTTGAAACGTTTAGTCTGTCTGCTGCGGGTACTGGGGGGAGGGAGAGGTCCGGGACGGTGTTGGGGCTGTAGTTGAGATTGGAGTGTCTGGATTTAGAGTGACAAAAGAATTTGACTGGGGAAGGTAGGATGTAGAAGTGGAAGTGGGGAAATAAGTAGGTATAGGGGAAGGTGTAGGTACATCTTGGGGTGGAGGGGGAGTGGCAGAGTGAGCGACATTACTAGAGTAGGGAGTATGAGAGAAACCTTGTCGGCGTGCTTCCTGTCTGGCTTCAAGTAGAGTAAGACCATTTTTGCATCTAAGTTGCTACCTCAGACTCAAACTTGTAAGTGTGACAGCCTCTATAAAATACATTATGGGGGCCGCCGCAGTTAGCGCATGTATGTGTTTGTGCAGACCAGTTTGATCGGTTATGACCGGATTGGGCACATATGGGGCATCGGTCTGTGGAACGGCAATGTTTGGCAGAATGCCTAAAGTGCCACAGTTTTGACATTGACGGGGAGGAGGTTAGTATTGTCGAACAGGGAGGGATTGTCCACCAATGTAGATATGAAAGGGAAGGTCATATATAAGGAAAGTAATTTTGGCAATGTTGATCGGTTTCTTTTCATGACCTTTAGGAGGAATGGTGTAGCAATGTACTGATTTCACGTCTTGGTCTTTGAGGCATCCTAATAAGTCTTCTCCACAGTCTGACCAATCTTTGGTATCGACTGGGCAGTTTGCTGGGGAGAGACAGACAGTTCCGGTACAAGTATAAAGAGTTGAATGAGGTTCTGCAGGAATGGGGTTGCCAGAGAGATCAGTTAGATTTGATAATGTTAAAGCATGTGACTGTTACGAGACAGGAACGATCGGGTCGGGTACGGAAAAGGACTCTGTCCACTTGTTTTTGGAGACATTGTTGAAAGAGAAGTGTTGCCTGAGTATGGTCCCATTTAGCTGGGTTAAATAGAGTATTTAAGATATTTGTAGAGTTAATGGTGGTAGAAGGACGGGGACGTGTGGAAGAGGGAGCACTGTTGAGGGGGGTAATATTACAGAGACGGAGAATAAGGCTGTAAGGTAGTAATAAGGGAGGTTGGGGTGTTTGATGAAGAAGGTTGTGGGGATAGAGGTGATGAAACTGAGTAAGTTGGGGGAGTAGGAATGTCTTCTGGAGATTGAGTCTCTGCTTGAGTGGGTATTGCACTAGTAGGCATTGAGGAGTGGGTAGTAGTTTCAGTGTTTGGAGTCGTGGTCAAAGGAGAGCCTGGGGTTGGGGAGCCGGGAGAGTTTGAATTGGTGGGGCTATTTGATGAAGGGGCAAGCCTTGTTGCCCCTAATAATTGCATTACATCTTCATTACTGGCCATGGGAAGTCTTGACTATGTTGGGGAAAGAAACAGTCCACCCCTCAGTTTCCTCTTGAGGGATAAGGGCTAGACAACTTAAACAGGGCAATACCGTGCCCATGGTTCCCTCAGACCATTCAGGACTGGCACAAAGTCCTCCTTTCATCCTTTCAGCACGGCTCTTACACCTTAGGAAGTAGATAGTAGAAGGGGTTGGAGAAGGGACGGAAACAAAGCTGGAGGGAGAAAAGGCCCTTCAAAATTAGTTGTCAAGGGCTGAGGTCCGAGGTAGAGGAGATCCCCAGCATTGGGTCCCAGTCCTGGTCTCCTAAGCCCCCCCATGACAAATGGGCAAGGAATTAGGGGGACGCATATATATAGATATAGATATATACATAGATGTATAGATATTTACACCTATATACAAAGGTTTATATAATATTAATATATACATAGATCTATAGATATATATATACATACATAGATATATAGATATATATACATACATAGATCTATAGATATATATACATACATAGATATATAGGTATATAAGCACGTCTCCTAAGCCATCCATTTTTAATGCACTAATTGGCTAAGGGTTCTTGTAGGTATAAGCTGATAAAAATTAAGACCTTTCTAAAACTTTGTAAGACATATCAATTGCTTCTTAAGACCTGGAGTCATTTGTCAATGAATACACACTTCCCTATTTTGTGTAGGCCTAGTTGTAATGTGAGTGACCAAGATAAAAAATTCACCTCATGATTTTGACAGCCTATTGGATAGATTATTTTTTTGCACACAGCAGCCAATAGGTAGACTTGTGTTGATGAAAGCAAGGTTAAGGTCTAATATAATTTCTTATGAAGCCGTGTGGAGATCCACAAATGAGGGAATTGCAAGTGTCCACCAGTAAAAGATATATAAAAATTTACGTGAACAAAGATGTGCCTTGGGCAAATTTAAGACCTTTTAAGATCAGCGACAGGAAAAGCTATACCTTCAAAACTTTTTAAGGCCATAATTTCAAAATGATTATCTAAGACCTTTTAAGACTTTTTAAGGATGTGCCTGAACCCTGTTTTAATAATTATAATCATTTCAATATGAAGGTGGTATTTGCAAAATCAATTTCTCTACCATTAGAATTTAGTCGTTCCTCAAACTGCAATCCATTAATGCATAACACTCTTTGCATGTCATAGGAATAGCAATAGTTTACAGAATGTCAAAGTGTAAGAAGTTGCACAAAAATTATTTACTTACACAAAAGGAATAAAAAAAAAAAAGTTGTAAATCTTGAATGTTTTTATTTGGTAGTACAGCAACTTTACTGTTGTTTGTGACAGTATTTAATGCAATATGAAAGAACACTTACAAGTACTTAGAAAACTCCTTCAACTTAAGCATAATTTTTTTTTTTCTATATTTTCCTACCCATTACCCAAATATAAATAAAAGCTTTCCATATATGTAAATCTCCGAACTAGATTCAGCCAGATATCTAATAGAATTCATCAGTTACAACAAGAGCAAATAATAGCCCCTAGATGTTGAATACAATAATTAAACATATCTAGTAGTAATATAAGCTTAAATCCTCACTTGCATCTCCATAACACTTAAAGAGGTTGTAGACAGTTATTTAATAGACGACTGTGGCAAGCAACAGCACTATGACATATGGGGAATTTCCCACTTCACAGACACAAGAGAACACCCATTGAAATGGAAGCAGGTTTCCCACAGAGTTACTTTGGTGATTATATATAAAAAATCAAAACACTATTTGCTTATCCTTTATAAAAGTATATGCCTTGGGTACATTGGAGATTTTTCTTTCAATAGAAAATTTTAAAAGCATGAGAATTATAAATAAAGACAGATCTTAGAAGACTGACAATGGACAACAGATCTTTTGCACTAATTGGCAATTCTACATTAACCATATATGACAGCCAGTTTGAAGCATATAAGGACAAACTAAACAACTGAAAATGATTGCATTGATACTCCTTTCACAGTGCTAATTAATAAAAAGAAAGATGAAAGAAGAAGAAAAAAAAATACTACAAAGAACGATAATGCAATGACTATACAATGGAGTAGTGTATTTCACAAACATGTTCCTCACCCTTGATTGTATGTATAACTATAACACCACTTCCTGTTTATACCTTGGGTGCACTGCATAAATAGCATGCCCAGCACATGCTAAACACCCTTGATGCTACAGAGAATCTTCTAACCGACACAAGCAAGCAAAGGTGAGAATCAGAAATAGGGTGACCAGAGGCACAATAGCATCAACTGAGCATCATCTTCATAGCACTAATAATATCATCAGCTGGAAGTGCTTCTTAATTTATATATTTTTTCTCACTGTGTGCCTCTTTCATTCATAAAACTGTCTTTATGCTCCCCAAACCTCACAACTTGGCTGCTGGGTTCCATCACTGGTTTACTGTACACAAAAACTTGTTCACTGCCATTGAAGAGATGTTACCATAATAGCTAAAGCAATATTACAAAGTTCACCTATCATTACAACAGACATGGCAGCTAGCTAGTGCATTCCCATCAGGAAACATTGTGTGACTTCGGGGAGCATTGCAAGCCAGACCACAATAGGATTGGTTGGTTCCTCTCTGGGATTACTCTGCACACAAATGTGTGCACTTCGACGGTGCAGATGCCGCAACACACCAGTGGTTTGATGTAGCGCAAACACAGATGCACTCAGGATATCACACGTTGATGTTTTCTTTGTCTTACTGGGTTTTCTCCTTGTTTCCAATGGGGAGGGAAGCCTTCACCCTGTAAAAAAAAAAAAAAAAAATTAGAAAAAATTCTCTAGCTGCTCTTATTCTGTATTTAAAGAAATTTCTCAAAAAGAAATCCTGACTACTTCTAAGAGACACTGAACACATGTCAACAGATCTATGCATCTTGTTCCAAACTCAATTTTCTAAGCAGCATTACAATTATCTTTAAAATTACTTACTTGGACATGATGTCGTTAACTTGTGAGCGAACGAGACCAACATACTGGTCAATCTGGGCTTGGTTCTGTTCGTAGACTTTGGGAAGGCTGAAGAGAGCTACAACCGCAAGGATGACGAGGGTCAAACCATTGAACCAAGATCCCAAGTAGGTCAAACACCAAAGCAGACAACCAAACTGGAATAAATACCTTGGTTCAACAACAAAATCATGGACAGAGAATTCATGAATCATAATATACCAAACAGATAATAAACCAAACATAACTCTTAATATGAAATAATAGCACTACAAATAATTCATAAACATTGTAAATTGTTTTTGAAATATTATAAAAAACATGAGATTTCTCTAATGAAAATGAAATGTATTCTTTAAAAAGGGTTATTACTTACAGTATTGCCTAAAGCAGTTTCTTAAAAAAAAGTCTTCATCTTGACCATGAAAGGCACAATAATTCATCTATGCCTAATGCCACCAGGGATGGTATGTGTGCATATACCAATGTTTTTTCCCTTCCTTCTTTATACATAGATGGCTCCACAAATACTAAATCACCAGTGAGCTATTGTCAGTAATGTCATTGACATTATAATGATTATGACAGAGAGAGAGAGAGAGAGAGAGAGAGAGAGAGAGAGAGAGAGAGAGAGAGAGAGAGAGAGAGAGAGAGAGAGAGAGAGAGAGAGAGAGAGAGAGAGAGAGAGAGAGAGAGAGAATGGAGAGAGAGAGAGAGAGAGAGATAGAGAGAGAGAGAGAGAGAGATGGCAGAGAGAGAGAGAGAGAGAGAAGAGAGAGAGAGAGAGAGAGAGGGAGAGAGAGAGAGAGAGAGAATGGCAGAGAGAAGAGAGAGAGAGAGAGAGAGAGAGAGAGAGAGAGAGAGAGAATGGCAGAGAGAGAGAGAGAGAGAGAATGGAGAGAGAGAGAGAGAGAGAGAGAATGGCAGAGAAGAGAGAGAGAAATAAGAGAGAGAGGAGGAGAGAGAGAGAGAGAGAGAGAGAGAGAGAGAGAGAGAGAGAGAGAGAGAGAGAGAGAGAGAGAGAGAGAGAGAGAGAAGAGAGAGAGAGAGAGAGAGAGAGAGAGAGAGAGAGAAGAGAGAGAGAGAGAGAGGAGAGAGAAACACTCGAAATCAGGTGAAATCAGGTGAAATCAGGTAAGATCACAAAAATCTACAAATCCACTTCTTTGAGGCTAAGCACTTGTGGAGCCATCTATGAACAGACATTTCACAAAATACGACAGTGAACACTACATGTTCCTAGTGACATGGTTAATCCCTGTTTCTACCCCTCACTCAGTATCAACTTACAGTTCTACCTAGAGGAACACACCTTAACGGAATCCACAAGGTCCTCCACAAGGAAGAGTCGCTTGAGTTCGCTGATTGTGGAATTGATCTGCTGAATGATGACATCGGTGGCCTCGTGCACCTTTTCTGAGGGCAGGTTGGTGTCAAGCTCCAGGATGTCCCTAGAAGCGAGAAAATGATATAGAATTGTCCACACAACACAATGCAAAAAGTTTCCTCTATCGAATGGAAAAATAACTTATGGAGACCGATTATTTTCAAAATCTGAATAAAAGATCCTACTCGGATTAATCATCATTATGATCATGTTTCTTCATCCATTAGTTCTTTCATGTAACAGACCTTGTCAGTGTTTTAAGATTACAAAGTGTGAAGTCTGACTGACTGAAGTTATCATCAACAACTGGGAACATTCTGCATAAAATACCCTTGTTTTTCTAATTTCCTATTTTGTGTAAAATTGTTAATGCATATGGATTACCTTGCTCTATTACCAGCAATTGATTCTTTCAAAGGCATGCATATACCCAAGATGTGAATTGACACTCTTGGTACTATATATATTCACAGACAACCTTGGTTCCTCTGAATCTCACCGTTGAAAATAAAAACCTGTAGCATTGTTATATAAGCAGCCAAGGAGAGCTTTTCTTCCAACCAGATTTACATATTTCTTAAGGTTTTCCTTGGACTTAACTGCATACCACTTTTAAATACTATGATAAAATATCATTAATATTTCTTAGTTAATTTTACTGGAAGTGCATGACTCTGATCTGTAACCATTTTTCATTATAGCTATTTTCATGATTCAATATTTACTAAGATGCAGTGTCAAAATTATCTATTGCTCCATGTTACATATGCTATGAAAACAACAATATCAGCCATTTTACCATTCTGCATTTATAATGCTAAGCTACATATTCCTAAAAAAAAAAAAAAAAAAAAAAAAAAAAAAAAAAAAAAAAAGCCACATCCTACAATCTTTTCAACTTTCTTCTTATCTTTCTTTCCATTTCCCTTATATTTTCTCCTCTAAAGACTGCCCAACCTGCCTGCCCCTTTCTCTTTCAACCTCTGCCCAAGCCCCTATCCAACCCCACCCACCCAACCAGTTCCAACAGCTGTCTGGCTCACTTGAATGGGTGTCCATCCTGTGACTTCTGAACGGCCTGCATGATGTTCTTGTAGATGCGGAAGGTGATTGTTCCTGAGAGGACGGTCAGGGAGGTGTAGGCCACCACGGAGATGAGGGACAGGTAGGCCATTCATCATCATCACCCCTCCGAACACAACTCCTGTCTTCTTCACATCGCGCCAGTAGATCAAGTCAACCACTGCAAGGTAGAGTTTGGAGGTTAGTTTTGGTTCTCTAGGGGGTGCCAAAAATAAATAAATCTTTAAACAGGACAGCCATGAACACTGGATTATTTAGAAGGTTGTCAAAGCTGGTTAAATGCCTGAATTCACATTGTGTGTGTGTATGCATTTGTCTATAAATATTTTCAGTTTTTCAAAGAAATTTATATATATATTATATTTATATATATATATAATATATAATATATATATATATATATATAATATATATATATATAGCAAAAAATACACATCATATGACTGTACAGAATGTTACCTGACTGTATGTGTGTGTGTGTGTGAAGAGAGGAAAAAGTTGTTTATAAGAACAGATTAACCCCCACATTTATATCAACATGTAAACAAATAAACCTGTGTGTTTAACATTTCTTTAGAATTTATGACATGCACTTTCCATTTCATTCTTTACACAATTCACATTCCAAATAACAACTAAATATACATATTTACACTCTTGACACAATCAGAATAATTTATTTCATGCATAAAATTGAATCAAATAGTTCAGTGACCCTTAAGCTCTAATGCGACCCCTGCTTGTGGAAAGTAAAATAACGTTTCCTGAAGAAAAACTCATCTTATTTCTCAACCACTCAGCAGAAATAAAACATTAATGAAAACGAAATTACATTTTAACACTAACAACTGAACTATTTCAAATACATTTTACACCATATGGAACAAATGCACATCATGCTTGCACATCCTACAAAAAATACAGTGGCAATACAATGTCACCATGACCCGCAAACCGACTAAAAAGCGAGGAACGGCCCACCGCTCCCGAGAGAGGAAAGGGCGAGCAGAAAGCGAGCGCACCTGGCCCTCTGCTGGGCGGAGGCTCCTCGTCGAAATCCGAGCCAGAGCCCCCTCCGTGGCGGTCCTTCCCGTGCCTGCGACCCATTCTGCGCTTCTGGTAAACGTCTAAATGGATCTCTTTAAACGCAACGGTGTCGAATCGAATCGACTTTCGCGTGAATTGACACAACTGACGATCTGCCGCCTGACACCTGACGCCGTCAAGCGAGCCACTTCCTTGGCTACGAGGACGAGGACCTCCGGAGTACGAGCGAACGAAAGGCGGCGCGGCGCGCGGGCAGTGTCAGGTGGAGCCGACAGGTGTGTGAGCGAGTCGTACCCGTACTGTGAGAGTAAGACCGGCCCACCGCGCCTCCCTCCCCCCGGCCTCGCCCGGCCTCACCCGGCCACGAGGGCACATTCACCAGCCAGAACCGCCACGCTGGAACACATTGCACACTCCACATCACCCACGTTGGCGTAGGGAGAGGAGAGAGGAGAAGAGAATGAGGGGGGGAATCGAAATGACTTTCCCAAAATGCCGGATTCTGCTCCAAATGGACATCGAGGAAGAAGCTGCCATAAAAGAAAACTAGGGAAGGGATCTTAAGCAACATATTAAAGAAAACGGAGGTCATGCCTCGTTTGTTTCACCGCTTTCACTGACGCGAACGCCGACGGCCCGCCAGACCATATGGCGTCGCTCTGCGGGCACTAAGGAGCTACAACCATTCCATAATGGATAGGCAACGGGCCTAAGCTGTCATCGGACACCACTTGCTATGCACAAAAGCATATCCTGACCTTGATGGATCTCGAATCAACAAACTACCAATTTTCCCAAAATTTCGGCTTTCTGGGTCATCTCGAAAACAATCCTGAACACGCAACTGAAAAGCACCTCAACGAGCAAAAGAAAGAAAGAAAGAAAGAAAGAAAGAAAGAAAGAAAGAAAGAAAGAAAGAAAGAAAGAAAGAAAGAAAAGAGAAAGAAAGAAAGAAGAAGAAAGAAAAGAAAGAAAGAAAGAAAGAAGAAGAAAGAAAAGAAAGAAAAGAAAGAAAGAAAGAAAGAAAGAAAGAAAAAAGAAAAGAAAAGAAAGAAAAACGCCACGCGAGAAAGCGAGAGAAAGCACCCGCGAACGAAGGAACGAAACATTTAATCGCCGTTTGCCGTCACTTAACGCCTCGGAGGGAAGGTCAAGGCTGCAGCAATGGGGAAAGGGAAGGGAAAGAAGGAAGGAGAAGGAAGAGAAGGAAAGGGAAAGAAGGGGGGAGAAGGAGAAGGAAAGGGGGGAAAAAAGGGAAAGAAGGGGGAGGGAAGGGAAAGAAGGGGGAAGGAAGGAGAAGGGAAAGAAGGGGGAGGAAAGGAAGGGAAGAAGGGGGAGGAAGGAGAAGGGAAAGAAGGGGAGGAAGGAAGGGAAAGAAGGGGGAGAAGGAGAAGGGAAAGAAGGGGGAGAAAGAGGAAGGGGGAAAGAAGGAAAAAGGGGGAGGGGAGGGAAAGAAGGGGAGGAAGGAAAGGGAAAGAAGGGGAGGAAGGAGAAGGGAGAAAGGAGAAGGGAAAGAAGGGGGAGGAAGGAGAAGGGAAAGAAGGGGGAGGAAGAGGAAGGGAAAGAAGGGGGAGGAAGGAGAAGGGAAAGAAGGGGGAGGAAGGAGAAGGAAGAAAGGGGGAAGGAAGGAAAGGGAAAGAAGGGGAGGAAAAGAAGGGAAAGAAGGGGAAGGAAGAGGAAGGGAAAGAAGGGGGGGAAGAGAAGGGAAAGAAAAGGGAAGGAGAAGGGGAAGGGGAGGAGGAAGAAGGAAAGGGAGGAAGGAGAAGGGAAAGAAGGGGGAGAAGGAGAAGGAAAGAAGGGAGGAAGAGAAGGGAAAGAAGGGGGAGGAAAGGAGGAAGGAAAGAAAGGGGGAGGAAAGGAAGGGGAAAGAAGGGGGGAAAAAGAAGGGGGGAGGAAGGAAGGAAAGAAGGGAGAAGGAGAAGGGAGAAGGAGGAAGAGGAAGGAAAGAAGGGGAGGAAGGGGAAGGGAAAGAAAGGAGGAAAGAAGGAAGAAGGGGGAGGAAGGAGAAGGGAAAAAGAAGGGGGAGGAAGAGGAAGGAAGAAGGGAGAAAGGAAAGGGAAAGAAGGGGAGAAGAGAACGGAAAGAAGGGGGGAAGAAGAGGGAAAGAGGGGAGAAGAGAGAAGGGAAAGAAGGGGAGGAAGAGGAAGGAAAGAAAGGAGAAGGAAGGGAAAGAAAGAGACAGGAGAGTTGTGGAAAGGCAGCGGAGGTAAGGAAAGGAAAGGGAAGGCATAGAAGGGGAGAAAGGAGAAGAGATAGAGATAGAGATAGAGATAGAGAGAGAGAGAGAGAGAGAGAGAGAAGAAGAGAGAGAGAGAGAGAGAGAGAGAGAGAGAGAGAGAGAGAGGAAGAGAGAGAGAGAGAGGAGAGAGAGAGAGAGAGAGAGGGAGAAAGGGGATAAAAAAACAAGAAAGGAATAAATGAAGGACAGATAGGCAGGTATGGGAACGTGAAAGCGGAGGAAGGAGAAGGGAGAAGCAGGAAAAAAGTACAAGAGAATGAAGAGGTTGGGGGATGGGATCGGGTGGGGGGGGGGGGGTTATTCCAACCCAGCTACCGGCGCTGACACTTCGCTGATCATAACCTGCCAGCGCTGACGTCTCCGCGCAAACGTCTATTTCGGCGCCGCGCTCGAATCCCGTCGCCAGGCGAGTCACGTGGTTAACGTGTTTGGACAGGTGCGCCGGCCGGGCACCGACCAAAACGGCTGCCACTCGACGACGTCGACGGCGGAGCTGACGATTCTCGCCAGAACTCCTCGACTGCAGTCGCCCTCTCGCCAATCTCTCTGCGTCAAAACACGCCGATATCGAACATCTGTTTCCACCTCCGGCCCCAAACTACCCAATCCCTCGTGTCATTTTCTTGGGCGTGCCGCACGTGCGTCGGCTGCGCCAGAGGGCTTGGCGACGCCTTCAGAAAATTCTTTTTACTGCCGGGCGCTGCTTTCCGTCTGGACCGCGCGCCGCACATGATCACCATTACTGACTTCAAAACGTTACAACAGACGTCTTGACAAAATGAAGAGGAGGAAGAGGAAGAATAAAATTAAAGAGGAGGGATAAGGGAGAAGAAAAAAGGCGAAAAGAAGAAAATGAATAAAGCAGTCTCCAGCGAAGCCAGGCCCCCTCCCCCGGCTCCTCCGGATGAGCGATCCCGGCGAGAGGAGGAGGAGGTGCGGGCGAGTTCCTGGTGTCGCATTACATCACTTCGATTCTGGGCCGTGACTGCAGGCCCGGGGCCGGATCAGCCCGGGCGAGGCCTTGACGTAAGGCGACTGTCTATCGGTTGTCTATCAGGGTTTCCCCTCCGTCTGCCTGTCCGTCGCCCCCTCCGCATGCCAGCGCCATCACACGACGAGCAATCAAATTTGTGTGCGCATGTCGTAGAAAAAATGCTCTACGTATGTACAAACATACACTAAAATGAAAGGGCTGAGAGGACGACAAGAAAGGAAGAAAGGAGAAATATAGATACAGATAAAAGGGGGGAGGGAGATAGAGAGAAGAGAAGAAGAGAGAGAGGGACGGTGTATGCGCGTGAGAAGTATCATAGCGGCGGCAGCTCCTAAGGGATGGCGGCAAGGCGCTCTTCATCTCTTTCAGTCTGCCCCTTTCTTTCTCACAGCCGCTTTTCCCCAACTCCTCACCGCCTCGCCTCGCCTCGCCTCCGACGCCCTCGCCAGCGCCAGAGAGGGAGGACAAAAGCAACATTATTTACTTCGGCAAATACCCCCCCCCCCTTCGCTCCGTCTACCTCTGCGTGCGGGAGAGGGAAGGGAAGCCCCCCCCCCCCTTATGGAGATGTACGGGCACGAGGGGAGCCTCTGCGAGCCCTTTCGGCGTCCCCGTCTGCCCGAGTCTCGTCTCCCGCGCCGCGAGCTCTCGCTGGGCTCGTGCATTGGTCAGGACATCCTTCGTGAGAGGACGGAGGGAATCAGAGGGCGCCCAGAGCGCGGCGAGAGGTCGATGGGGGAAGGGCGGCCTCCCCTACATCTGGCACGAGGCGCCCCGGGGGAGTTGGCAGCCATGCCAAGCGGGCGGCGGCAGGAGGCGTCGCCGCTGGCGCTCCGTCACCCGGGCGGCGGGAACACGCCAGCCCAGGGCCTTCGCCGTAATCGCTTTTGATCCAATTTAGCGCACTCGCCTCAGGGTCCGGGAGGGGGGGGGGGTTATGCACCCGCCGGGAGGACGGAGACCGCGCTTGCACCGAGGACGCTGCCTCCGCCTCCGCCAGCGGCCACGAACCCTCGTGCTGCCAGCCTCCCCGCCCCGCGCCCTGCCGACGAGAGCTTCTGCAGGAGGTCACCGGAGGACAGCCGCCGGCGTCGCGCTGGGTCCGGTCCATCAGGAAAGGTCGACGCCTCCCGCCGACCCACGCACAGCCGCTCGACCTGCGGCGCCACACCGCCTCCCCTCAGCGCCTCCGCCCCGGCACATCAAAACCACTAAGGCGGGAGAGCGATGCTGACGCCATGCTGACACCGCGGGACTCGGCACTGGCGCTGGCGGCGGCGAGCCTCGGCGACCATCACTGAAGCACAGGTCGAGGGCGAGGACCCGGCGTGCCACCTGCGCCACGGGCAAAGGTCAGGGGTGGGCGCGGGCGGAGGGCGCCCCGGGAGAGGAGGGGGGGGGGGCAGGATAACGGCGAACGTGGCGCCGATTGGCGAATGAGAGCACGAGGAGGAAGGAGGGGGGAAGCGGTGGTCAAAAGGGGACATGGTAGCGCCTCGTCCCGGCAAACGAGTCAGCGCTGAGGAATCCAACGCGTGCAGGTCGCAGACACACACACAGACAGACACAGACGAGGCACAATCACCGACCACGAACCCAGTCCCCACAGTCGGCCCATCCCTGCCCCTGAGCCCCAACTAACCCCAACAAGAGTCCCTGACCCCGGCCAAGGGACGCGCAGGGGCTGCCCCTGAGCTACTCACTCGTGCTGGAGGCGGAGGGCGAGCAGGAGGCGGAGGGCGGTGTGGCGAGGCTCGAAGGGCTCGAAGGCGCGCCGGCAAGGGAGGGAGACGCACACGAAAAGGAGAGCCGAGTGGCCCGCGACACCCACCGCGACCTGGGAGGTGCAAGCGGGCGAGGTGCCAAGGGAAACGGCGCNATATATTAATTTATATATATGTATATATATATATATATGATATAATAATAATTCATGTATATCACTATTTGTATACATTGTTTTTTATATATTGTATATATGTATATATATCTATAATATGTATATATATTTATATATATGTATATATATATATATATGTATATTATGTATATACATGTATATATAATACTTTATATGTATGTATATATATTTATAATTATGTATATATATTTATATATATGTATATATATTATATATATGTAATATATTTATATATATGTATATATATTTATATATATGTATTATATTTATATATATGTATATATATTTATATATATGTATATATATTTATATATATGTATATATATTTATATATATGTATATATATTTATATATATGTATATATATTTATATATATTATATATATGTATATATATTTTATATATATGTATATATGTATATATATTATATATTATATGTATATATGTATTATATATTTATATATATGTATATATGTAATATATTTATATATATGTATATATGTATATATATGTATATATAGATATATATGTATATGTATATATTTGTATATGTATATGTATATGTATATAGTTATGTATATATGTACATATGTATATGTATATATATGTATATATATGTATATATTTATATGTATATATATGTATATATATGTATATATGTATATATCTATATGTATATATTTATATGTATATATTTGTATAGATATGTATATATATGTATATATGTATATATATATGTATATATCTATATGTATATATATGTATATATATGTATTTATATGTATATATATGTATGTATATGTATATATATGTATATATGTGTATATATATATGTATATATTTGTATATATATGTATATATGTGTATATATATGTATATATATGACTATATGTATGTATATATATATGAATATGTATATGTATATATATATGTTTATATATATGTATATATATGTAGATATGTAGATATGTATATAAATATATATGTATATCATATATATATAATAATATATATATATAATATTATATATATATATAATATAATATATATATATATATGTGTGTGTGTGTGTGTGTGTGTGTGTGTGTGTGTGTGTGTTGTGTGTGTTGTGTGTGTGTGTGTGTTTGTGTGTTTGTGTGTGTGTGTGTGTGTGTGTGTGTGTGTGTGTGTGTGTGTGTGTGTGTGTGTGTGTGTGTGTATATATATATATATATTTGTATATGTATGTGTATATATATATGTATATATATTCCTTGGTGAAGGTACATCTGGTTATATGCCTTATACGATTTCCTAATAATGTGCATTGGCCTGATAAACTATTTTAAATTCCAGAGCGGACATTAGGTAGACCCAGTTCCTAGTCTCCGTTTTCGGATTCCAGTTATTACTCGTCTCATTCTTTGAAACGCCCTGTCCAGTCTTCGCTTAACAGCGGGGCGAGGAGGACGGCGAGCTTGGAGGAGGGGCGCGGGCGTGCGGAGGGGGAGGCTTGGGTTAGGCCGATGAATCCTTGTCGTATTTGTTTATACTTCCGACCTGGACCCCCAGCCCTCGCACCGTCGTTTTTCCCTCCATTTGTCGCTCACCGTTCCCATTCTGTTCTCCAGATGCAAATGCCATGTGATGCATGGAATTTGCTTCTGCCCTGATGGTCCTTCGGCAGATTGACCTCATCAGCCAATCGGGCAACAGTATGACCTTGTTTGACCTAAAATTTAGGTGATTCAGGGCTTTCCATTATCACATCGGCGACGTCTTGTTTTAAATAGCCTAACACTCACATTCAAAAAGTATATGAATCCAACGTCTAAGGATTTTTATTTCCTTGCTTAACTTCGCATCTTTCAAAGACAATTTGCGAGCGATACGCCTGCTTAATGGTACCCCGAAACCTCTGTGCGTAATGCATGTAGTACACCAAACAGCCTTAGTCTGCGCCCTCAGGAGTGGACTTTAATTCACGTGCAGCCGAGATCCGTTTGTACGGGATGCTTATTTGACCACGTGCATCACATACATGTATGAGTGGAAGTGATGGGATATACATCTATTTGTTTTTCCTTTACTGCACAAGCAAGGATTCTCTCACATCCAGCATTTAATTGAAGCAAAATTTTGTAAAATTTAAAAATGTGATAATTATATACTATATGTTATTTACATTAACGCTTCTAAATGTCCCTGTCCGGTATGTACGATTCATGGATACGTAGAGGGCAGCAGCAGTTGACCTGCCTCGGTTTATCCTTGTCCACGGACGGTAATGAATGACATCCGGTCAGCCTTTTCTTAATTAAGCAAAGGTGAGGTCAGATGAACCCAATGACTGTCCATATACATTAAAGTTTTTTTTCCGGAGAATGTTTCAAGGCTGCCTGCTAAACAATTCAAACATTTTTTGTCGCAGTGAATGTTTCTATACCAATTTGCACATCTGGCGTACGTGTACCTTTATAATTGTACCATATGTTTTTGCATATGGTATAAATGAATTGCCTCTGTTGTGCTATCGGCGGGCTTTCAGATCAAGGCCAGCGAGTTCCGAGTGCATCCCCCCCCCTCCCCGGATGCCGTGAAGTATGTACCCGGTGCGAGCGCTTGGGAGCCAGTCCTCCCGATCGACACGAGGAGCTGGGCTCAGAACCGGTCTGGTCCGTTATGCACAGAAGGTAACTGTCATTCGGCCAAGGTCACGGGACCGAGGCGGGGACCCACGAGGGATAATTGGTGTCAGGTGCTCATCGAGGAACGCTGCTTCACACCTGTGCCCATGATGTCACGGGAGTTCGATGTGACGTCACCCGTCGTGCGAATCGTCGCACCCTCCGAATTCTGCCAGTTGTGCGTGTAGGCAGCGGGAGGGCACCGCGAGTTGCCCGAAGGTCTACAATGGCCACGCTTGCTTAGCTGCGGGGGTTCACGGCTTGGATGTGCATACAGTGGTTTCAGTCGCTTTTATGTTAGTTGATGAACTATGATTTGATACATTATATTTAAGGCTAAGTATACACCTTTGTTTTAATGATTAATTTAGAGTAAATTGACAACGAAGGTAGCGCTTTTACCAAATATAATGTTAAATATAATAGAATAAAACATTTCAAACATATTATTGCGTAAGAAGCCAATTATTGTCGCAACCTGTTTTGATTGTATTTTTTATACATTCACATACGTACATGCATAAACTTGATGTACATTTTATGTATATGCATATAAACTATTGGTTCCCAACCCCGTAAAGATAGTACTAAGAATCCGGTCAGAATGTCACGAAACTTCAGGCTGAATTGCCTAATTACAGACGATGAGGCTGCCAAATGTTATTGTGCTTGACTGCAGTATCAATAGAGGGAAGCATCCCTGGGGTGAAGAGGTTGGGAACCACTGTTATATACTGAAACTGATTCATTGAAAGGGATTTTAATTTGCTAGAGAAAGCATTGAGAGAAAAGGTGTGTGGGGGTTATTGCATATTAAAAAAAGCTGTTTGGGTTTTTGGATTTTTTTCTTGGTTATTTGAAGGTATCTGTCCGACGGGTGTAGGTCATTTTCCTTCAGTAGCTACAAGATTGGCAGTTTTACGTGCCATCATGGGATTCAGCTTCTTGTCACTACAGGAGATCTAGGATCGTTGCAACAGAACTAAGCTCTCCGACGCACGCGAAGTTTTCCCCCGATTTCGAGGGAGGAGCTTCCAGGGGAGCGCCGTCGGGGACCAACCTTGTCATCCCAGGACCTTTACGTGAGTCTTGTTGATGACTGTCTAGGAAGCGGCGAGGAACTGCGTGCAGCGGGCCAAATTACAAGGCAGGCATCTGGGATTTGGTTGGACATTGCCATAGAAATGCTCACTCCACACTCGCCGTGGCTTGGGAGAAGCGCCAGCTGGATCTGAGCTTCTTTTGTGTTTTAAACAAAGATGGAGGCTGTGGTAGTTGATGGGCGAGGGGTCAACAGGGAAATCAACATTAATTCGCAGTTTTATCTTGTAGTATTGATAGACGCTGTGATTTAGGACTTGGCCTTTATAATCCTGACGGAAGTGTCTGGCAACTTGTACAGCCTTCTTGTGATTTTTTTTATCTTTTTGAAATCTGTTTCCGGCTGGATGAAGTTTGCTGCCGCCACGACGCTTTTCCCGCTGCTTCCCATTTTCTTGTATGCAGCGGAAGTGTGACTTTACATTTATGTACATTTATAAGAAATGTAAGGTTCCTGCTTGCAGTAAACTCCGTGTCTGAAAAAAAATCAAGAATCGAAGCTCATTTGAATATAGGTGTTGGTAGAGTAATAATGGTATCAAATGATTTAGTGCATTCCATTTGTTGCAATGGTTCTTCTTAATTTTGGCGCGACAGGCTTTATGTGTATTATTTGCTTCTAAATGACCCCCTGTGCGCATGGAATGGCCGGGGTTACCATCCACTGGCAGGGCGGGATTTTGACGCAGGTCAGGAAGATTGCTGGACGAAAACGCTACCGCTGCACCACAGAGCACATTTGTAGACTGGCCTTTTCGTATTTAGTACTACAATAGAAAATGGCTTGAACAGCTTCATTATCTATTCCTGGTACTAATTTGATAAATTGATATGCTTGACCATGGTCACAGAGAAAACAACGTTAGTAAAATTGACCGAGCAGACGATCCTATTATTCCTAGAAAGTGAACACATTGTACGTATTTCTTTCCATCCTCTGGCGTTAATGGTGAAAAAAGGAGTCACATTCCACGTTCTCATGAAAGTTTATTTAGGAGTCGAACAATGCATCCTTATGAAACTCCCCGTCTCATGCGATGTTTCTCAGCAATTGTCATCATGAAGACTGAACCTCGACGAAAAATCTCGTCCCCTTACTGATGACGGACCCCTTAACAGTCGGGAACAATGGATACACTTTCCCACTTGT